ACGTATACATGTGTTTACTATGATCGCTGGGCACATGATCAAACACTGGTAGCTAATCTAACAACTGAATAAACAAGCTTAGCGCAGGAATCTATGACGTGGGGGCGCTCACTCCGTGGCGCTCAACATGGCGACACACTGGTCACCCACAAAAATTGCTTTAGTACTGTTTCAAAAGGCCTCCTCCAGTCCTGACTTGAGTACACGGAGTCGCCCAGCAGGCTCCACACAGAAACACTTGCTTACGTCCTTCCCCTAGCCCTCAAACCGCGCATATCATATATAAATGATATCAGTGACAAAACCGAAACCGCGCACATCATTTATATATGATTTAGTGCCTAGCGCTATAATTTAAACGCCCCGCCTGGGATAGGGGCAGCTATAGTACGGGCCCGACCGATAGTTGCCAGATGTCACCTAGAAAAAAAATCCAGGCCAACATTCTTGGGTGTTACAGCGTCAGTATTGAGCAAGCCACCAACGTTGGCGAACACAGCACAAGCTCACAGCACCGCTGTTCAGCTTGTGACCACAGCATCGCCTACAAATACCATAATATAAATGATACTGATATTATTTAGCAGTGATAGTATTACTGAAGCCCCCTGACTGATAAAACTGACCAGGATTCTGATAATAGCAGGATTGTGGTGATATTTAGCGCTGTGCTCCATGGAGGGAGGAGTAAAGCTGTGGGAGGGAGGGTTGTGGCGTTGTCTTCTGACTGTGTGTGGCCACCATTTATTGACTGCACTCACCATACCAGCTTAGTGGTTCGCTATGGTGAACACAAATGTAGATACTTATATATAACGTGTGTATAGTGTAAGATAACAGCGAGAGGAGAAGGTTGGGAGCCGCCATTTTGGTGAGGGAGGAGCGTCGTCTGCACGACTTGGCATGGTGTTTACTGGTGGCCACTATGGTCTTTGGGCACCATACCAGCTTATTTGTACAGGTATGGTGAATAAAACAGGTAGATACTTATATATAATGTGTGTATATAGCGTAATAACACCACAAACAATATAGTTGGAGGACAAATATTAGTGTGTCTGTCGTTGAGGGCGGCCGCCGATCAGCTGACTGTGTGAGTAGCTATGTCTTTGTGCCTTTACTCACCATACAAGCTTAGATGTACAGTTATGGTGAACAAAACATGTAAATACGTATATATAACGTCTGTGTATAGTGAATAAATACAAAAACAGTATTGTGGGAGGAGAATGAGGGTGAGTGAGGTGTTGTTGAGGGAGGGAGTGGCAGTGAGTGGCTGGCTGGTGTTTGGCGGTCACTCCTCGTTGCTTTTTGACTCACAAGACCAACTTAGTAGTTCGTTATGGTGTACAAAACATGCAAATACTTATATATAACCTGTGTGTATAGTGTAACAACAGCAAAACTATTTTATTGTTTTATGAGCATAATAATTGAATCACTAATATGCATACCATAATTTTGAGTACAGCGATGGTTCACACATTTTATAATATAAATATACCACAATTCACTGTATGTAATAATATTACTGCAAGAAAACTAAGAAAAAATCAATCAGAGACATTGAAATAATTAGGTAATAATATATTTGTGGCAACTGCTGTCTGACAGCTCGGGCGGAGTAGACCTCGTCTGGCGAAGGCTCTGCCAACGCCCCTTTTTTGCCACACTTCCCTACCCTATTGCGGCTAAAATATGCCACCTACGATTTTTTTGTTATTTTTTCCGTGATCAGGGAACAAAAATGAACACTTCTATAAGACGAAAGAATTTTTTGGATTTTTTTTGCTAGAAGGAGCACACAATTAGAGTTCCACAAAGGCGCGTTCAAACAATCACTTCCTGGCCGCCTCTAATATATCCAAATCACAGAGAAATGGTCCACTATGTCTTCATCAGCTTCCTCACATTTGCAAACAAGTAGCCTTCACTCCGCTAGTGGCATGTCACGTCACCAACATATCGACATGTCATTCCATGTCACTTTTATTAAAAGCTTATCCTCTGCTTGTATTCTTAGATTACTCACTGACGTTTATTATATATACTCTTCCTCTGACCTCTTAATCTCAGGTCCGGAAAGCAGAATAACTCCCACAGGGTAGACTCCTTCCACCATGCTGCGTGGGGTCATAACAATAGCTTGCCAGCAATAGGGGTGTACTCACCTAGTTGTACTTGCAGGGGTTGAGCTCTGGCTCTTTGGTCCCACCTCTTAACTATCAGCGTGTGTGTGCGTGTGAAGGAGAGTCGATTGAAGAAGATTAAGCCACCCAAAAGGTAGCACGGGCATGAAAAACCCGTATGTGGTCGATTTTTTTAGTAATTGTATACTATGTGCTGAGGTCGCATTTAATCGTTAGGCTGCTATCGCGGGGGGAGGATACTGCTTGACAGTATTTATGAGGGTGCCCAGCTGCTGGACACCTTTTTTGACCAGAAGAGTGCCAGTGTTGATGGATTCAGGGTGGTTACTGCAAGATTCAGGGACTCTTAAAGCATTTTCTTAGGTTGTTAATTGCTTCACATTCCAGGAGATAGTGAAGTAGTGGCTTTTCTGTGATTGTTTGGCAGAAGATGCATTCCCTCTGTCTGTGTTCACCAATCTCCCAGTTGCATCTGTAACCTAGACGAAGTCTATATAACCGAACTGTTATTTCCCTGTGAATTCCTTTTGGTATATATAACCTTTCTAATTTGGTGGTATGAAGATACCATATTGCAGAGGGCGAACCTTCTGCTACTCTTTGGTGTAGATGGGCTTTGTTGCAGTGCGAGAGTTTTTTTGGTGATTTTTTTTTTATGTTCTCTAGGCTGGGTTGGATTGTTTTAGATATCACTGGATGACGAGATGCCAGTTTAGCAATTTCATCGGCGTTCTCATTTAATGTAATCGTTCCTAGCTCTGTTGCATCTGATCCTGTTGTCCTCTGTCCTTTGTCTTCTGTACTTCCTCCACTCCCGCCTGCTGGCCATTTTTGCTTCCTGACACTGTCTATTACACCATGGGTTATTATATTCCTTCTTATTTTTTCCCTTTACAGTTGGTATAAATCTCTCTTCGGCCTCCTGGCATTTCTGTATGACTAGGTCCATCATATCTTGGACTGTTTTTCCTCTAATTTCTTCCTCCCACTGCACTTCACCCAGATAGTCCCTTATCGTCTTATAGTCCCCTTTCCTGTAGTCAACTATCCTTTCCCAGATCTCTTGTCCCATGGTCATAAGTTTGAATTCCATCATATAGTCAAAGACTAGGACACAATGGTCACTGGCCCCTAGAGGTATTTCATGCTCTAAATTCTCGATATCTTCTACGTTCTGGGTGAAAATCAGGTCTAATAGGCTCGGTGCATCTCCTCCTCTTTCCCTTGTGTCTTCCTTCACATGTTGTGTTAGGAAATTCCTGTCTATAACATCTACTAATTTTGCTCCCCACGTTTCGTCCCCTCCATGGGGATTCCTTGATTCCCAATTTATCTCTCCATGATTTAGGTCCCCCATGATCAGCAGCTTCGCTCTCATCCTGTGGGCTAGTGTTGCTGCCTTCTGCAGTCCATCTATACATGCCTTGTTGTTGTCATCATACTCCTGCCTGGGTCTTTTACTGTTTGGTGGGGGATTGTAGATTGCCAAGATCACAATCTTCCTCCCATCTACTGTCAGAGTTCCATGTATGAAGCTTGTGCACTTGATGGTAACCCGATTTCCCAGGTCTTCAAACTTCCATTTCCGCTTTATTAGGAGTGCCACTCCCCCTCCCTGTCTCTGTGTCCTCTCTTTTCGTATCACCTGGTACCCGTCAGGAATGATTGCATCTGAGATCATGTCATTAATTTTAGTTTTCACAATTGCAACTATGTCAGGATCTGCTTCACTCACTCTTTCTTTTATCTCCTCTGCTTTATTAGATACCCATCAGCATTGATGTACCAAACCTTGAGATTCTTCATGGAAACTCTTGTACCAGAGTTCTCCCTTTCTCTGGGGGTCTGAGGGGATCTGGGGGGTGTCAGGGGGGTGACTGGGGGGTCCGGAGGGTGTATGGGGGTGAAAGAGGTCAGGAGGGGTGCTTGGGGGGCTAATCGGGGCTGGGCTTCTAGGAAGGTAGGTAGGAGGGTCTGGGGTAGGGCCTGGGTAGGTAGGTCTGGAGTAGGAAGGGCATACTGGGTCTGAAGATTAGGGAGGGTCTGATAGGCATAGAGGGGTTGGGAGATAGCGTAGTGTGGGAGTCAGATAGAGGTTGAGAGATTGGGAGGGGGAAGGATAGAGGGGGTGGGGGGAACCTCCCACCCCCCCTCGCAAGGGTGGGGGTCACATGGAAGGAGAGGGATGAGGAGGGGTGAGGGCTGGGTAGGTTTTGGGGGTTGAAGGGATGAGGGCTGGACGGGTTTTGGGGGTTGAGGGGATGAGGGCTGGACGGGTTTTGGGGGTTGAGGTGATGAGGGGATCCTTGGAATGTGGGATGAATTTGACTGCAGTGGGGTCAGAGGGGTCAAGGGAGGTGATGGGGAGATAAGCAGGGGCAGGGAGGGCTGATTTGGGGAGGGAGTGACCTGAGAAGGTGTGAGCTGGTTATCATGGGGTGGATTAGCCCCTCTATTAGTGTGTGTGCATGCGGGCGTGCGTGCATGTGTGCGTGCATGTGTGCATGCGTGCGTGCGTGCGTTTTTGTGTGTGTGTGTGTGTGTGTGTGTACTCACCTAGTTGTGTTTGCGGGGGTTCAGCTCTGGCTCTTTGGTCCCGCCTCTCAACCGTCAATCAACAGGTGTACAGATTCCTGAGCCTATTGGGCTCTATCATATCAACACTTGAAACTGTGTATGGGTTCTAACTGTTCTAACTTGTGTGTGTGTGTGTGTGTGTGTGTGTGTGTGTGTGTGTGTGTGTGTGTGTGTGTGACTGTGGACTCTGAAGCAACTTGGAGATAAGGTAAAAGACTAAGTGTTCAAGTATTGAGATATGAGATAGTATATCTCACCTTATCACACCTGATCACAAGTCCCCTGTTCCTTCATTCCTGTGCCCAGTTCTGTGAAAGGTGCACAGTTGTGCTCAGAGATCTGTGAAAGGTGGACGGCTGAGCTCAGAGATCTGTGAGAGGTGGACGGCTGAGCTGTGATCTGTGAGGTAGATGGTTGAGCTCAGAGGTAGGACATTAATTATTGAAGTTTAACTAAGTTTATAAGTTTGTGTTATAGCAGCTCTACTATTATATAACCCTGCGAGCGGTTCCGGGCGGGTCTTAGCGGTGGGCAAGCAAGAGCGACTGGGCACCGGTTCTTAAATTAATTGTCCGTATATGTTTATCCACAGAACTTGGGGACCTGGTTGTAAACCGACTGGCGGGTCGTGTTCCAGGGTAAAGTGGTAGCATAAGGCTTAAGATGATGTGCTGGAAGGGAAAGCTCCTAATGCTAACAAAAGTCAGATGCTGTCTCCTCCTTTAAAGCTTATACATATATTGTAAAAACTCGCGACAATGTTAAATATGTAACCTGTCTATTAAGCTGGAAACACTGCACACCTGTCTATTAAGCTGGAAACACTGCACACCTGTCTATTAAGCTGGAAACACTGCACACCTGTCTATTAAGCTGGAAACACTGCACACCTGTCTATTAAGCTGGAAACACTGCACACCTGTCTATTAAGCTGGAAACACTGCACGTCTGTCTATTAAGCTGGAAACACTGAACACCTGTCTATTAAGCTGGAAACACTGCACACCTGTCTATTAAGCTGGAAACATTGCGCACCTGTCTATTAAGCTGGAAACACTGCACACCTGTCTATTATGCTGGAAACACTGCACACCTGTCTATTAAGCTGGAAACACTGCACACCTGTCTATTAAGCTGGAAACATTGTGCACCTGTCTATTAAGCTGGAAACACTGCACACCTGTCTATTAAGCTGGAAACACTGCACACCTGTCTATTAAGCTGGAAACATTGTGCACCTGTCTATTAAGCTGGAAACACTGCACACCTGTCTATTAAGCTGGAAACACTGCACACCTGTCTATTAAGCCGGAAACACTACTCACCTGTGTGACAGTAACGAGAACTTGGCTTATCTTAGAATTAGAAAGGATCTGTGACTGGATATAATTTCTGATGCTTCGATTCTGCACTTTATGACTAGTACAAAAATATTGCGCTTTTGCGCAATTAATCCATTTGTGTCATGAAGTAATAACGCCCGTGTGCTTCTGCACAACTTAATGTCTTGCAGATATACATGAAAAAATCGCAATTACTGCAACACTTCAATTCATAACTTTATTCATCATTTTTCAAATCTTTATAATTGACTTCGATTACAACATTCAAAACCATTATTAATTTACTCAAGAAAGATAATCGATAAATTGTTATATATTTTGTACAGGAGAAGGAGCAGACGATTGAAGTTGGCACTAGGAGGATGGCTGGCAGTGTGGGCGTGGCAGTGGTGGTGGGCGTGGCAGTGGTGGTGGGCGTGGTACTGATGAGCCAGGCCACGCCCACACGCGCCTTCAACCTGGACACTGGCGCCAGTTACCTTCTGTGGGAGCCAAGTTTACCATACCAGGAGCGGGAGACATATTTTGGTTACACCGTGGCTCTTTATGCAGCTGGGAGCCAGGCCTGGTGAGTCTCCTCCACCCTACTGTGGCCGTAGAACTCTCGCTCGCTCTCTCTCTCCCTCGCTTGCTCTCTCTCTCTCGCTTGCTCTCTCTCTCGCTCTCTCTCTCTCTCTCTCGCTCTCTCTCTCGCTTGTTCTCTTACTCTCTCTCTCTCTCTCGCTTGCTCTCTCTCTCGCTCTCTCTCTCGCTCTCTCTCTCCCTCGCTCTCTCTCTCACTCGCTCTCTCTCTCGCGCACTCACTCTCTCTCTGTCTCACTTGTTCTCTTTCTCGCTTGCTCTATCTGTCTCACTCCCTCTCAGTCTGTCTCTCTTACTCTCTCGCTCTGTTTCTCTTTCGCTATCTCTCTCTTTCTCTCTCTCTCTCTTTGTACTCACCTAATTGTGTTTGCTGGGGTTGAGCTTTGGCTCTTTGGTCCCGCCTCTCAACTGTCAATCAACTGGTGTACAGATTCCTGAGCCTACCGGGCTCTATCATATCTACATTTGAAACTGTGTATGGAATCTGCCTCGACCACATCACTTTCTAACCTATTACATTTATTAACTACTATGACCCTTAACCGTTATTTCTAGTGTCTCTGTCTTATTTGGGTACTCAGTTTCCACCTGTGTCCCTTTGTGCGTGTACCACCTATGCAAAATTATTTCCTTATCTGTCCTTTGTCCATTTCCTCGAGAATTATGTATATAGTGATCATGTCTCCTCCAACTCTTCTGTCTTCTAGCGACGTGAGGTGCAATTCACGTATCCGTTCATTGTAACTCATACCTCTGAGTTCTGGAACTAGTCTATTCGCATACCTTAGAACATTCTCCAGCTTCTTCAGCTGCTTGACCAGGTATTGTGGGAGTGTTGTCTTCGTGAGTGGAATGTGTATTGATTATTCTTTAGTGATCAGTATTCCATAGATATGAAAAGTTTCCATAAAAAAACTTATGGAAAAAAACAGTGGGGGGTTTATAGTGATAGTGTTAATTAGGATTGAGCAAAATTATTATTTTGATATATATAAATTATCAGTATTTATTTATTACTTTATTTAAACTCAATTTATTGTCTGCTTTATCCGACTGTTATTAGTAACTGGTTTTAAGAGCTGTTTAGTGGAACCGTGAACCAGGGACTCGTGTAGCAGTATTTACTAGCCGGAGTGAGCCTCGTGGCTTCCCGCTCCTAGCTGTGCTAGCTTCCCGCTCCTAGCTGTGCTAGCTTCCCGCTCCTAGCTGTGCTAGCTTCCCGCTCCTAGTTGTGCTAGCTTCCCGCTCCTAGTTGTGCTAGCTTCCCGCTCCTAGTTGTGCTAGCTTCCCACTCCTAGTTGTGCTAGCTTCCCACTCCTAGCTGTGCTAGCTTCCCGCTCCTAGTTGTGCTAGCTTCCCGCTCCTAGTTGTGCTAGCTTCCCACTCCTAGCTGTGCTAGCTTCCCGCTCCTAGTTGTGCTAGCTTCCCACTCCTAGTTGTGCTAGCTTCCCGCTCCTAGCTGTGCTAGCTTCCCGCTCCTAGTTGTGCTAGCTTCCCACTCCTAGCTGTGCTAGCTTCCCACTCCTAGCTGTGCTAGCTTCCCGCTCCTAGCTGTGCTAGCTTCCTGCTCCTAGCTGTGCTAGATTCCTGCTCCTAATTGTGCTAGCTTCCCGCTCCTAGCTGTGCTAGCTTCCCGCTCCTAGCTGTGCTAGCTTCCCGCTCCTAGCTTCGCTAGCTTCTCCTCATTGTGGATGTCAATTATTCCTGCTGCCGAATTAATCTTTAATTGAGGGCAACAAGAGGTTAATTATAATTCAGATTTAACCTATTTAGGTTTAAATGGACTCTCATTTCTTACTTGTCTTTAATTATCGTTGTGAGCGTAACTGTTCTCACATGTACACCTAACTAGAAAATGACCATAATCCCTAAGGATACTTAAGTTTGTGAGTCAGGAGCAGACGTGATAACTTCCAGTAGCGGGTGATATAAGCTACACTGTCCGCCATCATAGTCTGTTGTATCTGTAGCCTAGACGTAGTCTACATAACCGAACTGCTATTTTCCTGTGGATTCCTTTAAATTTTCTAACTTGGTGGCATGAAGATAACATATTTCAGAGGGCGAACCTTCTGCTACTCTCTGTTGTAGATGGGCTTTGTTGAGGTGTGAGAGTTTGTTGGTGATGGTGTTGTTATAGACTCTAGGCCAGATTGGTGATGGTGTTGTTATAGACTCTAGGCCAGATTGGTGATGGTGTTGTTATAGACTCTAGGCCAGATTGGTGATGGTGTTGTTATAGACTCTAGGCCAGATTGGTGATGGTGTTGTTATAGACTCTAGGCCAGATTGGTGATGGTGTTGTTATAGACTCTAGGCCAGATTGGTGATGGTGTTGTTATAGACTCTAGGCCAGATTGGTGATGGTGTTGTTATAGACTCTAGGCCAGATTGGTGATGGTGTTGTTATAGACTCTAGGCCAGATTGGATTCTTTTGTGGATCACTGGATGACGAGTGACCAATTTAGCAATTCCATCGGCTTTCTCATTTAATGGGATTACAACATGGAATGGGGTCCAGTTTAGGGTTATAGTGAGCCCTTTGCCTTTAGCTACAGCTTCAAGATACAAAATGGTGGTAATTATTTCCACGTTGTCTTTCCACTGTTTTTTTCCTAATATTTGAAGTGCAGCTTTTGAGTCTGAGTATATGATTTCATGTTGAGTGTTTTTTGCAATTATATATGCACACAACACTCCTAGCTGTTATAGCTACAGCTCAGTTTGGGTTGATGATACTAGTCCTTCCAGTCTCCAATATGCCTGTTTGCTATCCAAACATAGAGCAGTACCAGCACTCATATTCTGTGTCCACTGTTCCGTCTGTGAAGATGTTCTAAAACATTCCGGTTCTAATACATTCCAAGCGCTGTTTGGTCCTGCTACGTGTACTAAATTTTTTGATCTCAGTCATGTTGATTCTACACGTCCTGATGATTTATTAATCCATAAAAACCTAGTTGATTCGATGGATATGTTTGTCACCTTTAACCCCACCCGTACTGGTACTCGTGTCGTTGACGCCCCTTCTCAGGAAGCGGCTGACCGCTTGGCTTAGTTGTCCAGCATTGGGGAGACCCCCTGTTCGGATCTGCAAAAATTGCCCGGCAGAAGGCCAGCAGTGGAACAGTTGTTCTCCCGCACCATGTTGTGACTGATGATAGGGAACTGAAAGACTGCCACAAGGATATTAAACACAAATCCTTCTTCTCGGCCCTCCCCTCTGTCTTTTGGCATGCTTTACCGCCTGCCCGTCCAGGCCATTGTCCATCCTCCTCCCAGCCATCTTCATGTTGACCGTTCCCGTTCTTCTTCTTCTCCCGATCTCCTTCTCCTATTGAGATTGTAAAGGCTGTCGCCCAGTATATTGCTGATGATAAACCTGTTTCTCTACATCAGTAACCTAATCCTGGGTCCTCCCCCTTCTTATCCACGATGGGTAAGAAGGCTTTGCTCTATTTCTCACCTTCCGATTTCATTCCCTCCCATTTCAGTGGCGGAATCACTTGTCCCTGCTATGGAGGTTCCCTTGGTCCTTGATTCTCTCTCGGATGCTTCCCCTGAGGAAGTGCACTCCACTGTTTCTGTCTTTTCTGCCCCTGATTCCCTTTACCGCCCCTCTCCGAATCCTCCTCCCACTCCTGACTGTCAGACTGCCTCTGGTCCATCCTACCACTCCCTTGATTACTTCGTCTTTGGTAGATTTACCTATGTCCCGTAACTCCGATATTACTTATCCTGATTCTGATCTTACTTAGTATACTGTGTTAATATTCGTAGATTTTATGCCAACTTCCAGGAACTCCAACTTCTGATCACTGAGTTTTTACCGCTTTGTGTCGGTTTCCAGGAGCTGATACTTGGCGCTCGTCCTGATCATTTCTATGGTAATACCTGTCTCTCCCACCCCCCCCCCCCTTCCCTCAAGCTTTTGCTGGGACTTATAACTCTACTGCTCTCTTGATCCGTATTGATATTCCCTTCGTCCCCTTAATTTTCAGTCACACATTCAGTGTTCTGCGGCCCGATTCTGTTCCATTTATCTCTCTCCCCTCCCCCCTCCAATGTTACTCTTTTTCTTCCTGTGCTTAAACATCTGTTGGACTCCTTACTTGAGCCTTTTGGGTAATTTTAACTGTCGCCATACCCTCTGGGGTGATGCCCTGACAAACACTCGGGATGCCTTCTCAAACCATTTGTCCTTTCTTCTTCTGTCTCTTCTGAATTCTGGTGAACCCATTCATTTGACTCCCGCATTCTCACCCTTTCCTGTCTTGATCTTTCTTTTTGCTCGTCTTCTTTTTATTTAGATTTCACATGGCGGGTTCTTGATAACCTTCGTAACAGTGACCATTTCCCCATCCTTGTCACCTTCTCTTTTCGCCCTCCCCTCTCCTTCAATAGGTGGCAGTTTGCCAAGGCTGATGGAATCTATTGACCCGACATGCTACTCTTTCTTACCTCTCCACTCTGCCTCTCCCTGGAACCCTCCTTTATTTTCATGACACAGTATTACATGCGGCCCTCCGCTCTATTTCTCCCACTACCTCCTTGGGCGCGCAGAAGTGTGTTACCTGGTGGAATGCAGACTGTGCTCGGGCTGTCTGCTGTAAGCGGACAGCCCGGTAGAAACACCGACGCCGACAAACGGCTAATTCTTATCTTTTGTTTCGGAAGGGGAATGTGGTGGACCGTTAGACCATCCATACGGCAACGCGTGGGAGTTGGAATTCTTATGTCTTCACCATTATGATTGATACTCCTTTGCCCCAGATCTGGAAAAAAATCTGTAAGATAGCGGGTATGTTGTTCCAGATGTCTCGCCAGTCCTTTACCTCCGTGGTTCTATTGTGGTGGATCTAGTGTGAGTCACGACCGAACTGGGTTCCCTCTTTTCGACTGTTAGCTCCAGTTCTCATCTTCCTTCCTTTTTCCTTACTCACACGCCACTTGTTGAATCTTATCCCTTAGATTTTTGCACACAT